ATGCATACAACAAAAATAACCTTACTTGTATGTGCCAAGCTGCCTAAGAATGGCAAAATCCTGAAATCACTTAAAAGTGAAAAAAAATAGTTAAGGATAAAAGTTGTTGGTGATCTCAATGATTGTATTATTATTTTAAGTTAGATATCGATCTAAAAGTGAAAGGTGAAAGTAATGAGATAAAGACTTAAAAGTAAGAGAGTTTAAGATAGATAAAGAAGAAAGTAATGAGGTAAAGAATTAAAAGCTTCTGGTTCATGAAATTTTAGAATTTAGGGGAAAGTGTGATATTTGAAAAAGTTTGATACTTGAAGTTTATGTTCATTTTTAGGGCATCTTATAATCAAATTCACTCATTTGGTTGCGAAAAATCTTAGTTTATTAATTCATATATAATTATCATAATCTTCTTGACAAGCTGTAAGTAACTTTTCATTTTGTTTTAATTAAAAAAAAACCCAAACGACAAATAATGCTTTTAGCAGCAAGAGAAAAGAAAGATTTTAAAGGTTTTTAATTAAATATACACAATTATGGTGTTTAACTAGACATCAAGCCATAATTGTTGTACTAAAATATAAAAAAAAAATCGATTATGGCATTTTGGAAGAGCTGAACACCTTATTTGCTTTTATAAATATATTAGAAAAAAAATATTAAATAAGGCGTTTATTTAAAGAAACACCTTATTTGCTTTTGTAAAAATTTTGAAAAATCGTTTATCAAATAAGGTTTTGTAAGAAGAAACACCTTAATTGATATCAAATAAGATGCTTGTAGGAAGAAATGCCTTAATTGATGTCAATTAAGACACTTGTAGGAAGAAACGCCTTAATTGATATCTAATAAGGCGCTTTTAGAAAGAAACGTCTTAATTAATATTAAAACTGAATTAAGAATAAGGCAAATTTTTTTTTTAAAAAAAAGCTAAAACTAAATTTCAAACTTAATTTTCAAAAAGGTAACGGATTATGATAAATTTTTTATTCAAGTCAAATTTGGAAATAAGATAATTTTCCTCCCGAAATCCTTAAATACTATAAGGAGATGTGGGTTTTTGATTTCATGACTTTAGGCACTGTTGGGAATATGACATTTTCTCCTGTAATCGAATTACCTTGAACCAAACGTGGAAAACAAATATTCGCCATCAAGATTTCAAGAAAAAATTTGTAAATTCCCCGAACCAAACATACTTTTAAAGGAAGAAAGTTTAAAATAGATTAAACATGCTTGGATAATACTATTTATATCTATGTGATGATATTTTGGGTCTACACTGCTAGATGTCAGCTATAATCATAGGTCCAAGCTGAGTTAACAGTTGATTGCCCATTCATGGTTCAATAAGTTAGCATCCTAGGGGTTCAACAAATTAGCATCCTAGGCACTATCTTGTAGGCTATTGAGGTGGTCGAGTTGACGTGGACCTTAAGAACTCAAGTCAGCATGATATGTTAGCTTACCAAAATGACAAAAATACTCCAACTTGTCAGCTAACTTATACTAATGAGGGAAAAGTTCATTTTGATTTTTAGACATTAAAATGCCTCTAACATTCTATTCCCTATCGAGCAGTTTGATGTGTTAGCCTGAAAAAGGTAAAGTTAACCGATCTATTTCTGTTCTAACTGAGTTGTTGATTAGGCATTGGTTTTTTTTTAGAGCTCTTGTTTGATCATTGGTCCGACCTTAATTTGTTGAGGTGGCAAGCAAAAAAAATGCTAATGTAAATATAGTAGCATTATTCAGGTTTGTGGCTGATGTGTGCTACTATAAGATGATAGAAGTCACATTCGTAGCACTCATGACATATTCGACGTCCTATCATATTGGTAATCAAAGTGGTATTTGTAAATTTTTTATAATGAATCGTGTGAAATCTAATGTGATACAAATGCATGGTTGATGTGATACTAACACATTTTATTGGGTAAGCTTTGCATGATGGGTGAACCGATGTGCCTCTTGTAAAGATTTATTTGAATCTGTATTTATTGAAGAGATAAAATTTCATAATTTTTTGAATTAAGATTAAGAATGTGAAAGGTCAATCCCAGTAATTGTTATGGTGATATGGCCTAATCTGGACTATTTGTTTGATCTAGTACTTGGCTATATAAGAAGCCTTCTAGAGTCTCGTTTCTTTACTACTTGACATCTAAGATCTCAAGTCGATTAGATTTAATGACCTCTAAATCTTTTAGCTTTTTTTGGTTGACCTTTTTTTTTCTCAAACTCTTCGATACATTTTTTTTTATTATGTTTTCTTATTCTAACATATCTAACAATTTTAGGGTAGAAGTAAAGAGAGGTCAACTTGGCCAAGAAACTGTTTTTTTGAATGATGAAGTCCCTTATGTCTTGCAAAAATGGACAACATCGAGCTACCAATTAGTTAAATCCAATGTCTGTTAAGGGCCAAAAACAAGTGGAAGATAACGCTCGAGCAAGGGAAAAAGGGTTTGTCATGGAAAAGATGAGCTTCTAGCTGTAATTGATTTCAACCTCTAAAACCTTTCAGTCTCGATAGCAATAGTCAGTTTGGCTCTTTCGTCTGACCTTTTTTTTACTTCTTTTGCTTCTATTTTTTTGGTTTCACCCTTTCTTCTCATCTTGATCTTTTTTTTAGAAATCCCCTTTCTTTTATTCCTAACTTTGTTAGTCTACAAATATATTTAGCCAATCTCTTCTGATTAAATACTCAATTTTATTTTTCAGGTTGATGTAATCTTCAGTGTTATGTTTGTAATCTCTATGAAAGATACATTTTTTTTGAATATTTTCTACTATTTTACCTCAGTGGCTTAGCCCATTTAAGCTTAGGGTATCTTTCAATTTGCATCAGAATCCTATACTGAGAGGTATTAAATGTAGTGTAGTTACTATATCATTGACTTAGGCTTTTAGCCCTAAGGTAACCTTTTGATTTTGTCTTTCTTAAGGAATTGTAGATTTCCTTTCCTTTTCACCAATCAAAGAAGGAGATGGACTTGTTTCACCTTGAGTGTTTTTCATTATAACTTTAATGTTAATATATTTTTCAATGATAAGTAAGACATCGGTGAGAGACTTCAGTTGTTCTAGGAAGAGGGTAAAGTGTTATTCTTAATCACTTAAACCATTGGTCAGGGTGGCCACTGTTACAACTTGCTCTAAGTCTTTAACCTGAAGAGTTTTAGCATTAAATCGCTTCACGTACTCTTTTAAGGATTCATTTTTGTCTTGGTAGATTGACGTCAGATTAAGTGTCATTTTCTTTGTTCGTCGATTGTAAATGAATCTAGATAGAAAGAATGGTTGAGTTGCTTAAAGATGACAATTGATCTCGACTCGAGGCTATTGTACTAGGACTAAATTGCTATTTTCAACGTTATGATAAGCCTTTTGCACATGAAGGCTTCATTGACTTACTGAATCATCATGTTGATATGATAAAGTTTAAGATGATCAAAAAAGTCAAATGTATAGTCATATGTCTCCAAAGTAGGCATCTTAAATTCCTTGAGAGGTATAACTTAGTTTATCTTTTTTGTCTAAAAGGGAGATTTCCAAAAACCTTAGCTCGTCATTAAAAATGGAGGCCTTATTCTTCAATTCTTTCTTTATTGTCTCCATCCACGCTTGTAAATTTTTGTTTGGCTATGGTTTTGAGGTGGCTTAGGTGGAAGTGTGTGTAAGATAATGGGTTATTCGTGTTTGGTTTTCTTTTGATTGCAACCAACGAGACCATTATATCATCGTAGGTTTATAACTTTTGAGCGAGTGAATTTTAGAGAATTATTGGGTTTGATGCCTTTGAAGTTTCTGTTGGTGTCAAGTTTTGTGTTATTTTTTTAAGGGATTGGAGTTGTTGGGCGAGCACTTCAAATTGTACGACGGTTGAGATAGTAGGTCGATCTGGATCAGGTTAGTTAATTTGGATTTTTGTTCCAGCAACAGTTTCTTCTTCCTTTGTAACTCTCTTTCTAGCAAGCATCTTTTAACTCGACTAAATGAATATTGTCTTTACTTGACACGTTAAATATTTGTGCTTAATTGTTCGAAGATGATAAAATCTTGAAATCATTAGATATGGAAAGACAGAAATTAATAATAAAAGCTAAAGGTGATCTCAACGATTGTGTTCCAATGCAAAAAAAAAAAAAAAAAAAAACAATTTGAAACTAAAAAGAGAAAGTAATGAGACAGAGGCTTATAAGTAAGAAGGTTCAAGACAGATTAAAGATATGTAGATGAGAATATTTATACCTATATAACGACGGCTTTGGGTTTAGACTGTTCGAGATCAATCGGCGACTAGAATTAACTTCGTAAACCCAAACTAACTTGATAGTTGACTGATTTTTCAAGTGCGACAAGTCAGTGTTGTGATACACTGTCCTATAGGCTATTGAAGTGACCAAAGTAACGTGAATCCTGAAAATTTAAATCTGCGAACAAAATAATGAAATGCCCCCGTTATCAACCTACTTATATTAAAAAGGAAAAAATCCATTTTATCCTTTGCACGCTAAAATGCGCCTAACAAAGCTTTTTTCCAAATCGTCAATGAAAGTTTTGTTGATAAACGATTTCACTCGGTCCAATAACTCGGAGAAAACTTGGTCAGGCGAGTCATAAGAGAGGTCAGGGTCGGGGAAGGCAAGGACGAGCCGTGCCGAGTCGGAGGAAAGGGCTCCGATGCAGTCCCCGGACTCGATGGGAGTGAGGATGTTGGAGAAGAAAGCGTGGTGAGGAAGGGAGGCATTGACATCTGAGGGTTGGGAGTGCGAAGAGGGTTCAGGCCGCGATGGACGGCGGGTGCAGCGTAGGAGTCCTAGCTAATGCCCGCGTAGGACTTCTGTTTCGTATTACTTGAGAAAGTGAGAAATCAGGCCATTTCAACTGGGGTTTAAGCGTTTAAGAAATGATAAAACGGACTCCAAACTATTTACGTATGATATTGACAAACCAATTATAATATGACACGTGTAATCAAAAAATATAAAATGACGGAAGTTTAGACAATTTCGACAACCCAAAACCTTTGTTTTTCTCCCGGCAGCACGCAGCCGGCAGTCAGCGTAGTTCAAGGAAGTTTTCTTCTCCGTCTTCGTCTCTCCCTTAGGTGTTAGAGTAAGCTTTTCTGTCTCTTCTTCTTCTTTCTCTCTCTCTCTCTCTCTCTCTCTCACAACAACTATGAGTTTTAACCTTTGATTTTCCGATGAGTTTCTGTTGTTTTTTCAAGTGCAGATTTTAATGAAGATGATGAATAATTTTAGTCTCATAAATAGTTTTTTTTTTTTATCTGTATTTAAAACTTGTTTATTTTTAATTGTGAGTGAACAACAATTTTAATTTTTGTTTTATTTTATACTTTTAATTGTTAGTTGTGTTTACTAGATGCAAATTTAATTTATTCCTTGCTCGGGCTTGGATTCCCATCTATTAATCTGATATCCATGAAATGAGTTTGGGAACCAGACTTTGACTTAATAAAAATAGATGTCCTACTGCTTGCTATTTCTAATTTCTTGGTATTGGGCATTGTTAGAAATTCAAAGAGTTTCCAAGGTGGACTAGGCTTAGGTTTTCCTTCTCAGTTACTCGCAGAAGCACAATTTGTTGGCTTAAGCCATGCGGTTGTTGTTCTATTTGCACGTTTGTTGGTTTGGAATTGCGAAATTACGGGTTTGAGGAAAAAGAAAGGTTTTGGGTATGGCTGATAATAAAGAAAGAAAAAATTGTTTTTTATTTTTTATTGCAGATCATTGTCTTTTGTTTGCCAGTTCATGAATATTGTTATGGTAAAACAATCATAACCTTCAATTTCATTTTTCTTTCCATTGGTCCAGAAATGGATCCAGAATCGTTGCTGGAGTTCAACGGACTAGAAGATGTTTTGCAGCCTTTACTTTGTGCATCAAATTCATCTTCACTGAAAGAAGCCCTTGAGCTTCTTATAGAAGCTTCTAGGAGTACTGTTGCCCGTGCGGAACTTGCCTTAAGGAATATCCTTCCTACTGTCCTTAAGCTTGTTGAATCTCTCCATCACAAATCAAATTGCGAATATCTCACGAAATCTCTGAAGCTTCTTAGGAACCTATGTGCTGGAGAAATTGCCAATCAGAATGCATTTTTGGAGCAAAATGGAATTGAAGTTGTTTTGAATGTTTTGAAGTCTGCAGCAGTTCTTCCTAATCCAGATTTTGGGGTTATTCGTATGGTTTTGCAAGTTCTGGCAAATGTCTCTTTGGCTGGAGAAAAACATCAGCAAGCTATTTGGCATAAGTTTTTTCCGAATGAGTTTTTGGTGCTTGCAAGAGTTTGTAGTCAAGAGACTAATGATCCTTTGTGTATGATTCTGTATACCTGTTGTGATGGAAGGCCTGGACTGGCTACTGAGCTCTGTAGAGATTTGGGCTTGCCTATTGTAGCGGGTATAATACAGACTGTTGTCTCAGGTACAGATGATTAGCCTTTGATTTTTGAGTTTTCATTAATCTGTCCCCAACCTACTTTGTTTTCAATAGATTTAGATCTACCAATAGCTAACTCTAAACCTGACTTTTTTTTCTATTTTTTCTGCTGTTGTCTTATCAGTTGGTTTTGGAGAAGATTGGTTTAAGTTACTTCTCTCAAGGTTATGTTTAGAAGATATTCACTTTCCTCGACTGTTCTTTAAATTATGTAAAAGCAGTGCCTCTGAGAATAGTGGAATTTCTGATCCCCGTGATGATCTTTTCTCATCAGAGCAGGCTTTTCTTTTGAGAATCATATCAGAGATCCTAAATGAACGAATGGAGGAAATAAGAGTTCCCAGTGAGTTTGCAATGTTTGTTCTTGGAATATTTAATAGATCAGTGAAGGTTGTTGATTTTGTCACCAGAGGCAAGTCTGGTCTTCCAACGGGCTCTATATCCATTGATGTTATGGGATATTCACTCATCATTTTGAGAGATATCTGTGCCCAAGAAGGTGTAGGAGACTTGAAGAAGGATTCCTTAGATGTTGTTGATATGCTAATCTCCAATGATCTTATAGACATTCTTTTATCTTTGCTTCGTGACCTTGAGCCTCCAGCAATCATAAGAAAAACCTTGAAGGAGAGCGAAAACCAAGAATGGAATTTGTGTTCATCTAAGCTTTGCCCTTACAAAGGATTCCGGAAAGATATGGTTGCTGTAATAGGGAATTGTGCCTATCGAAGGAAGCACGTACAAGATGAAATAAGACAGAAAAGTGGGATTCTATTGTTGTTACAGCAGTGTGTTACTGATTATGACAACCCGTATCTAAGGGAATGGGGCATTTGGTCTTTGAGAAATTTATTAGAAGGGAATGCAGAAAACCAACAGGCAGTGGCTGATTTAGAGCTACAAGGGTCTGTTGACATACCTGAACTTGCCAGACACGGTCTTAGAGTGGAGGTTGATCAAAATACTCACCGTGCAAAACTAGTAAATATCCCAGGAAGCTATCCTAAGCCTGATGATTAATTTTATTCTGCTAATTTAGTATGCTAGACTATCAAAGTGCCACGTTCTTTTAAGTTGTTCAATTTGTACACTTTTTTGACAAACTGATCCTGGAAGGCAAGAAGCTTGACTAAGATTTGGTCATGGTAATATTTCTTGATCTTGATATTGAAAATTGTCTTTTCCCTCCGTCTTGATGTATTAAGTTTCTGGTGATATTCTGGGTATGAATTTTCATTGACATGCTTTTTTGTCATTTTCCAAACATTTTATATTCTTAATAGGGCTTATGATGCATTGACCCTCGATTAATCCTGAAAATTCTATGTTGTCAGTCATGTGTTAGAATTGTCTGTCTTATTGAAAAAACAAAAAGGAACTCTCACATAATATTGATGGATAATTGAACCCCTAAATGTTACTGGATCATGTAGACAAATACTTCTGATGATTTTTTTTTAATTGTTTCACATCATTATTTTTATAGGTAAGAGTTCCCTTCACATTACCCCCTCTTCCTTCTTAGGTTTAATAATGCCTTAAAACAATTACTTGAATGGTGGTTGCTCCTATCTCTGTCTTAAAACTATTTGAACTATTGCTTAGTATCTCACCCAGTAAATCTAAACAATACTGGAACTCATTCATTTATTACTTTGTTGGTAAAGTCCTTTGCTGCTTTAATGCACAGCGTTAGTATTAAATTAATGAAAAATTCTTTTCTTTCTTCTCCTTATACATGAGTTTTGATGTTAAATGTCCCTTAATTATGATAGTGAAAATCCAGTTAATTATTGGGATTTAAGTGTTTGTTTAGTTTAGTTTATTTGGCTCTTTGTTTCTCTTCTTATTTACTTTTCTTTTCTGTAAAAAATTTCTGATTGAGTTATGTTCCTAGTTTTGAAATTTTTAGTTGATTCTATCTTGATGTTGAAATAGTGTGATAAATTTTATTCTTTTTTTATTTTTTGGTTTTGCTTTGATTAACTCCTTATAATGTTTTTTTTTTTTCTTTTTCTTTTTGGATAGTTTCTATTTCCTTTTTACTTGGAATTGTGATCATTTGTACTTGGTAATATGTTTGAAATTTTCAATGCTTTAGAAAGAGGTAAAGTAAGAGAAAACAAGGTTAGGTCAAAGGATTTTTTTGCATCAATCAAATAGCTTAAAGGATTCATGCATTATATGCAATCTTGTAAGTTTCACCTTAGTTTGAGCTCTTCAAACGTAGTTAGGTAGCTAGCTAGCCCTTTTAAACCATTTTGATTGCTGATGCTGCCTAGAAGGGGTGGGGGTGGTGAAATTTTTTTATAAACTCATAATTGGATGTTAAATCATAAAATAAGCAAAATGTAGTTTAGAGGTTAGTTTATTGAGCAAAATTTTGTTGTCTGTTTTCAAGATGGAGGTGAGCACTGCATTGTTTGGAAACATGTTGCTCTAGTACTATGTGCTACTCTTTGAGGTAACAAGGAATGTTGATGGCAGTAACTGAGTATGGTGGATGTGTGGAATCATTGAATAAGAATGTGAGCGAGAAGTATGGCTTTGATTTTAAGGAAATATGATGGAGCAAATACAGGAACCCAATGATGTGCTAAATGGCGTCATTGAAATGCAATGTTATTGTAGTGTGAAATAGTGTATCAGAAAGAGTTGGGTTGTAAAGTGGAACCCTTGAAATTGTGACTATGTGGGTGTGTTTAAGGGTTTTGCACAACAAACTTTTTTCATTGCATAGAAACCTTGTAAAACACACAGAAAATTCAAAGAAACAAAAGAATATGCGAATAACATGCATACAGAACTATGTAAGGAATCTAATAGGAACTAAGGTAGAAATGATATTAGGTTCAAATTGAGGGGCTTCTTTTGTTTTAGGGTTGATGACATGCGTGCTTAGAAGGTCAGGATGGTTGATTGCAGGAATATTTAGGTGCATAATAACTTGGTTGACTTGCATTTTGTGTGGTAAAACTTAAGAAAAAGGCAAAGGCATTGATGGAGTTTTTGACGAAGAAAAAAGTAGTTGTTTCCTACTTTGTTTTGAGCATTGCTTGTAACATATTATGGTTATTGTGATATAAAGTTAGATGTTAAATTTTTATCTTTAATAGTAGTTACTGCCTCAACTGCAGCAGAAGGCTCAACTCCTTTGGGTGAAAGCAATGGAGTTCAGTGTCCATGAAAAAAATCAAGGTTTTACTAGTAGGAAGCAGAAAAAGATTAAAGTGGAAATGTACATCCTATGAAGTAGTGAATTGGTGGACCAATGAAATGAAAGACTTACTTGTGGAGCCGGTTCTTTTGAGGCATTAAAAAATCTTGAAGAAAACCAGATGGGGAGACGTTGGTAAATTGGGAACTCACAGGTATGCCACCACAAATATAACTTGTTGTATGGTTAGTATGAGATTATTTATATTGGTTTGATGAATGAAATGAAACATTGTTATGGGTATTATGCCGGCTGGTTTAATGACTGATTTAAACAGTTTTGCTGGATCCTTATTGTTGGGTTCATGGTGGGAGGGAGGGTGTCTCAGTTGTCATGATTAATGTTTTTAAGCCATTAAATTTTATTAATAGCTGCTTTATCTCATATATGCTTTCAAGCACCCATCTTATGACTCAAAATGAGCTTTAAGTTGTTTCAGTCAGATTCGAAAACTATTATTCAATTGTCTTAACATAGGTTCACACATACATAAATTGAGCCAATAAGTCTATATATGATGATATTGAAATTTTAAATTTATATTTTCTCCAAACTATATAGTTTGACATGAGGCTACTCTCACCATGCGCATATAATTTTGATTTAGGGAGGATTTGGGCGCAGCTCTTTGAGCAAGGAATACGTACTTATCTACCAATAAGCAGGGTTGGTATAATATTTTAGCTTTCTTATTTCGTTATGTCCTTTTAAACCATCAAGATTACGGCGGCTTCATGTTATTTGATATTAATCTTTAAATTACAATAGTTTTTCCCACTATTTATGTATATAGAGTGGAAAAAGTTTACATAACCAATCAATCTTCTCTCTATTTAGGATATATATATATAGCTGCAAGATATTTTTAGATTCCATCCAATACATCTCTCTGGACCAGTTTCAATAGATTTATTTATGTCAAATTTAACGAATTCATACAAAAATTAATTTTTCATAACTTCCTAATAATTGCGAATTAAGACAACAAAAAATAGAACTGCACTTTTTTATCGATTGAGTCAACAAACTGCTGGTAGTGGGATAATGTATCAGTCCACCAACTTCTTTTAGTACATGATGCTGTTCATAGCCATATCCAAGCCAATAATCCTACTCTAACCATCTTAAAATTAAAAGCTCCAAGCCTTTCTGGAGTCTCAAGTTTCTAGTAATAGTTTGGTGTTTCATTACTAATTTTGACATTTTGAACAAGAATATAATTTTTCATCCTTAAATTAAAAAAAAAATTTTATAGCATAATATATGTGTATAGGCATGATTAAAATCTTAAAGATTAAACAAAAATTAAGCAAACTATATTAATTCCAAACCCTGTTGCCATGTCATTTTTTTGAGTAACTCTTCAAAAATGAAATAATTGAATTGGAATATGATCAAGTATTTACGACCCTCTCATATTTTCTTTTTTCAATTTTTTAGGTATCTCAAAGCAATGTCCTCTATTAATGTAATCAGAAAATAATTTTAATGGGATCATATTCATATATTAATTATTAATTCATATTTTATAGAGATAAGGACTTTCTACGTTTTATTATTAAAAAAGTTTTAATTTGCATTAAATTCAATTGTTTTAAATACTAAAAAAAGTAATCTTCATTAGAAAACTACTACAATGGGATATTATTTAATGCAATCGTGCTAATGATGTAATTATTCTTAAATTTATAAATTGATTTAAATATCGTTTGAATATTGTTTTTTTTTTTTTTATTTATCTAAGTGTTTTTATAAATTACATCATCCAACGAAAACGTTTTTAACAACAAATTAAATATTTTATAATATGAAAATTATAATTATAATAAAATAAATGTTCATAATCTTAATTTCATGCAATAAAAAATCAAGAATTTATTTTCGTTTTTTAGTAAAGTTTGAGAATGCATTTGTATATTATTCATACATACTTTATGATTATACTAGGTTTTTTCACCCGTTCTTCACACAATTAGTCTTTTATCTTTAAAAATACTTAAATAATATATATGTGCATAAATATATATATGTATGTATATATGTACATACGTGCACATGTCACGGACCTAAGAAAGAATCCTGAATCCTATATCGAATATAATAGGAAGGTCCCTGGAGTATATAAGGGTTCACATCACCTCCGCCTTGTGAGACGCCTTTTGTAGGACAAAACCGTGAGGCCAGGGGGCCAGAGCGGACAATACCTCACAAGGGTGTGAATCGTGGCATGTAGGCTGATATGGGACACCGGAAGGGTGAATGCCCGGGTCCCGGAGCCGTGCGGGTTGGGAGCTTGAGTCTCGACCCGTGACAAGTGGTATCAGAGCCAGCCCTAAACCGTTCGATCCACGCCAAGCACCTAGAGGGAGGTAGGCAGGGTGGCCAGCCTCCGTGACGAGGGCGTCACGAGGTTGGGTGCGGGAGAATGTCACGGACCTAAGGGAGAGTCCTGAATCCCACATCGAACATAATAGGAGGGTCCCTGGGGTATAAAATGGTTCACACAATCTCCGCTTTGTGAGGCACCTTTTGTAGGACAAAACTGTGAGGGCAGGGGGTCAGAGCGGACAATACCTCACAAGGGTGTGAACCGTGGCGATCAGGCTGATCTGGGATGCCAGAAGGGTGAATGCCCGGGTCCCGGAGCCGCGCGGGTTCGGAGCTTAAGTCTCGACCTGTGACACACACACACATACATCTAAAACGTTTCTCTTTATTAAAATAAAAATTAAGATAAAAAACAAAATTTTTTAAAAATAAACCAAAAATTTTAAATAACAATCATATTAAAGGAAAAACATTATTAAGAAAAAACATTATTATGAAAGACTAATGAAATCATGAAACCTACAAGAGAAATAAAAGTAAAAAATCAATAAAATTTATTTATGTTTTTTATTTCTAAAAGATTTATTTTTAAATCATTAACTCATTGGAATATGTATAGATTGACATTAATATAATAATGATTTGTAACTTTTCGACTCTCTATTATTAATTAAATTTAAATAATTAGCAACATATGAAAAATTATATTTATCTATTAATTGTGATAATTGATTGTGTCTTTTAGGGTTTTTTTTTGTCTTTTAGTTTTTTAAAATTTTAAATATAATATTCACTTATATAAAATTGGATTAATTGTGATCATTTAATATTGTTTTATTTTATTTTATTTGCCTTTTGAATTTTTTCGATTTTAATAAAAAAAATCTTTTTATTAATTGTGATAATTTATTTTTTCTTACTTTTTGATTTTTCTTCATTTTAAAGAGATACATATATATATATATATATTATACTAATTGTGTATTGCTTTCTTTACCTTTTGGCTTTCAATAGGCTTAAAAATATATAGTTATGTGTGTGTATGTATATATATATGTATGTATGTATGTATATGTATATATATATTTAAACTCTTTATTTATTTAATGAAATTTTCAAATAATCTGCTTTAATATGTATTTAATAAATTTCATAACAGGAATAAAAAGAAGTGTAAACTTACTAATAGGTAGCGAGGTGTATTTAAAATAACAATCCTACAAATATAAATTACATTATAATAATTTATTTAATATATGATATTTAAAATTTTGTAGAGATATATTTAATTTTTAATTTTAAATAATATATTAAAAAATGATCATGTAACGCATGGGTTAAAATAACCTACTTGAATAATGAAAAACATTTATAATGTTAGAATATCATTAAAAAATATTCTTTTAAGTGGTATATATTTTTATTTGCTATAAACCAAATTTTGTTTAGGAAATTTTAGTGGATGTTGAAAATTACCAATATTGCAATTTAACTAAAAAATTGATCAATATCTAAAAGAGTAAGGTACAAACAAATTTAAAAGAAAAATATAAGATAATTTAAGAAATTAACTATACTTAAATAATGTGAAAAGGTAAGAAATTCATTATTCAATATTGATTATTAAATTTATTTATTTTTTTAAAAAAGAAATAATCGATTGTATAAGAAAGAAGAGGTCAGCTCTTAAGAGATAAAAATGTTACTTAGAGTACTTTTCATTTATTTTTTTATTTTACTCTAAATAAAACTATCATATTTAAATGATTAAATTTGTCAATTTGGCATTAAATTTATAGTATTCATTTGACTTCAAATTTGTTTAAAAAGAAAATTTTTAACTTTTCTTTTTAGCTATACTTGTGCCTTTTATAAATTAAAATTTATATGAAAATTTATAGTTCAAACTTGAGCTTTAAGTCATGGATGTAAAGGAAAAAATATAAAAAAATAATTATTATTTTGTTAATTAATAAAAAACGTAAATTGCCTAGAGATGTAAGATTTTGGACTTGATCTTAGAGCCACTAATCAATGTCATAGTTAAAAAGAACTATTATCATTAATAAACTCAAGACATTCTTTTGATAAAATTAAATTTAAAAAAAAATTAAAAAAGTTAATAAATTTAGTCCTGGTTTTAATAGTGGGTTTTATGAATTAGCATTAAATCCAAAAAGTTTATCCAAATTCATAGATATTTATAATATTTAATATTTTTATCTGTCTCATCTTTATATTATTAAAATAGGAATTTAAATGAAAGTTCTATTATTATAAATTATTGCTTTAATTCATGTTTTAAACTATGAGTGTGAATGAAAAAAAATAAAAGAGTATTTAAGGTGTTGTTTTGAAAAGAATTGATGTACAAATAAATTTAATTAACCATGAGATTTCTAAAATTGAAATTAAACCCTTAGAATCCAATCGAGTTTATATATATATATATATATATATATATATATATATAATATAAACATTAACCACCTTCTATTTTACTATAAAAGTTTTTATTATATAAATAATCACTTTAACCTTTATTTTAATTAAATAATAGGTGCATAAGAAGAGAAATAAAAATATTTATTAATGAAGTTAAAATATTGTTTTATGAATAGTAAATTGCAAAGAATATATATAAAAAAAATTTATTACGATTTTTATAGTATTTATCAATGTCATATTAAACTTTTAACTTCTATTCAAATTCATGCAACATTTTTTCAAATAAATTTTTTTATGTATTTAATCTTTTTAGAAGAAAAACTATACAAAAATTCTATTATTAGATCTTTAATTGAAGACCTTATTTTGAACAATTATTGGATAAGAAAACAAATATATCCATTTTTATTAACCATGTTAAGTTATTATTTTCATAAAAATATTAAATTTAAAAATAGTAAAGTAAATAAATTCAATCATAAGATGTAGACACTTATTTTTCAGACTTTGTTTTTTTTTTTTATTCGATGTGTTTCAGATAAGGATAATAAAAATAAAAGTAGAGTTTTGGTCCTAATAGAACTTTAGGGTAAGGAGGTTTGTATTTTGAAATTAGGCTGATAAAAAGATTCCTTTGGAATCAAAATAAAAGGGATGAATGAATAGGGTTTTTTTAAAAAAGAGGATTTTTAGTTTTTTGAATTTTTTGGCTAATTTAGGACTTAGTCTTTTGCGATTTAATCCCTATATAAACTTTTTATCACACACACAGAAAAGAGGGAAGAAAAGAAAGTAGTCAGAAAGTATCAAAAAAAATTTCAAAGAAAAATAGATTTCTGAAAAGGGTTCTTTTGGAATTTTTGTAGTTAGAGGTTGGATTAGAGCCCAAGTGGTGCTTTGGAGGATTTCAGGAAGTAGAAAAGTGATTAGGTTATTTTTTGGGATTTGTTTTTTGGAATTTTCTGGAAATTCTAGAATTTGGTTGAATTTTTTGGCGAAAATTCAAACTTTTTAGTGATAAACTTAGTTTTAGACATTGAATCCTAGAAACCAACAAAAGTTCAACCGATATTTTTCATATTTTAGAAAAAGAAACAAAGGAAAGAAGAGGAGGAGAAGAAAGAGCAAATAAGCACTTGAAGGAAAAAAGAAAATTTTTGCCTTTTTATATTGGTGTGAAAGGACACTGTTTTGGACTTTAAAAGTAGGCAAGATCCACACGTCACCCAAGGTCTGACTCAATCCATTGCACTTCAACTTGTCTGCCTACTTCATTAAGTCATTGCTAAGCCGTGGAGTCAAGCCGTGCATCGAGCCGTTTCAGCTTGAATCTGTCTCTGGAGCTGTGCCCTATTCAAGCTAAATCGAGCCAAAGTAAGATATGGTATTTTTTTCTTCTTTTACCTATTTATTTATTTATTTTTGTTTATTTTTTACAAATCAATAGCATTTATTCAGTTATGTATAAGTTTTTTTTTTAGGAGAATTAAAATGTGAAGAAAAGGAAAGCATTAATTTTCTTTAAATTAAAAATAATAAAAATATTTAAAAAATAATACT